TCTTTGATTCTCAAGTCCATAATCACGTCCATCTTGATGAGTCCTCTTCTAGACTCAACCGAGTCCTATGAACGACTCGTTGAGTCCCCCAAAGTCCAAGTCTATACATCCGATTACAGTCAGGCTTATTGCATCTATAACATAGATCTAGCCTCCTAGGGTCGATGTAAACATAAAGTTACAAACTTTATGTGCATGCATGGGTGTTATGAAGCTAAAACACCAAAACTAGCCCATAAAGGAGTTCTAATGCATGGGATACAGCCATAGCTTAATAAAGGTGGAAACTTTAAGCTTCCTAAGCTCAAATGTTCCCAGATCTGAAGTCATTACTCTAATATGCACTCAAATCCTGAAAGTGACTTAGAAATGGCCCAAAAATGACAATATGCAAGCCTTAAAGAAGATCTAAGTGATGGAAAGTCAAGGTTTATGCTTTTTACCTCAAACAAGCTAGAAATGCAACCCAAGCTATGGATCCACTACCCTCCTCTTGAATCGCCAAAGCTTTCCTTCCTTCTGCAAGCTTCAAATCACTGAAATGGCACAAAAATAGCTCAAGAACACTCACAAACTTATTAGGGTTTTGTGAATAAGGTATGAGGGTGATGGAGGCTGTAGTGGAGGCCATATAAGGTGTTTAAATAAGGTGAAACACCTGAAAATTGGGGTTTCACTCTAGCAGACCTACTCATCGAGTTGGGGGCCTTCGACTCGTCGAGTAGACTCTTCCATCCGCGACCAAGACCCTTCCATACTCGACGAGTTTGGGGCCTCCAACTCATCGAGTCCCAGTATAAAAGTGCAAAATTCTTATTTAAAATACGTACTGGGAACCGTGCGTTACACCATACCAACCTCTCAACCTCAGAAACCCTAGATAGCCTCTCACTATTCATCCTTGTGTGTTTTTGGCTTTGGGAAGTCCTTGGTGGTGTTTAGAAGCTTGGAAGGTGAAAGAAGGAGTTAGAGAAGAAGAAGTTGATTATCTTGAGCTCAAGGATCCGAGATTACACCACCTTTTGGCACTCATTTGAGGTAAAAATCTTCAATCTTGCCTCATGAATGCTTAGATCTCTATTTATAGAGTTTTGGACCTCTTTAGGTCCCAAGAATGGATTTTTATGGTTCAACTTCATTTCTAGGCTTAGGGTTGCCACCCTTAGTGCTAAATATGTCCCAATATCAATAAAGTTTCGATATTTGAGGTTCTTTTGTGACCATGCATGAGATCTAGCCATTTCCTTGGAAGTTAGTTGTTATATTCCATGTTTGGGTCCATTTGGTGGGTTGCAAGCCACCAACTAATCGACTTTATCAGTTAAGACATGCTAAGGGACTCATATCTGTAATATGGGCTTAAGGTCTTAATGGAATAAACACTTTTGAAGTTTATGGCTTAACAAGGTAGTACGCTAGGTGTATAAGCCAGTACGGGCAGCATATAAGCCATGCAGGAGTACGCTTAGGGTATAGAGGAGTACGCCCAACGTACTCTCAGGTTTTGGGCTTTGCCATGTTTGGGCCTCAGTTTGGGCCAATCTTTGGACTTAGTAGCTATTGGGCCTTAATAGTCCATCAGAAGTTAGATAATAGACCAAGGAGCTGTTTGGGCTTAAGGGAAGGCCCATTTGAGGAGTTGGGCCTAATTTAGAAAAGCAGGCCATTAGTAGGCCTGCGTGGGCTTGGAAAGATTAGATGGAATTGGGCCTAGGTTATGGTCCAAATTAGACCAAGGGGTAAAATGGTCATTTTACCCTAAGAAGGATTATTGGATTTTGACTACATGCTATTGTGATAATGATAGTCGAGGAGTCGCAGGAGCAGCCAATAGAGATTCCTTATTGAGAGATTCATCTGTCAGCTTTGTGATGTGAGTTTCCTCCTGTATGAACAGGTTGAAGGCACCGATGTCGGCACGTATGTGTATGCTAGTATATTCCAGGCTTAGGTCCAATGTCGGGGATAGCCCTATGTAGTTTTATATGTTTCCGGACTTTGGTTCGATGCCGAGGAAATCCCGAGGAATGTTTGTATGCTTGATGTCTTCGTGATTCTTGCATGTGCTTGTTATATGTTCCGGACCTCGGTCCAATGCCGAGGTAAGCCCGAGGAATGCTTTTATGTTTATGTTATATGTTTCTAGATTTCGGTCCGATGCTGGGCGGGGCCCGATGAATGTTTATATGTTTATGTTATGTGGTCATGTTTATATGTATTTGTTGATATGTTTATATGTATACATGATCTCGGTTCGATGTCGAGCGGGGCCCCATGTAGCGAGTAAGGTCGAATATTATGTTATAATGTGATTATTTGTATGGTATGTGATAGTTTGGGGAGACTCGATAAGCTTCGTGATTACGGTTTTCAGTTTTGGTTTTAGGTACTTCTGGTAGCAAGGGGAATAGGTTGGGATGATTGCGGTGCACACACCATTTGGTTAGCCTGAGATGTTTATACTCTAATATATACATATATATATATACATATATATATATATATATATATATATATATATATATATATATATATATATTTGACAGATGTTATGATATTTTTAAATACACGACTTATGATTTTTATATGATGTTTGATGACTATGGTTTTCTTAATGATTTAAAATGAAAATTTTGAATTGTATTTTTGAGATGTTTCATACCGACACCTGCCGCAACGGCAAATCCGGCCACGAAGAATACCATGGCGCCCCAAAGGGCACCGACCACACACTGACAGCCAGCAACTTGCCAACACCCATCCACACGGCAGGTAGGGACCAGCACCTGGTGCCTGAGCACCATCCCATTCGCTATACAACCAATGCCTACAGGTCACATGGTTTCCCCAATGGCCGCCATGTTGTACGTCCGGCTATTCGCACAACAACCAACTTTCAAATCATACTCCTACTACTACCAAGGCATGTACCCCCAAAACAGCCGTAAAACAACAATATTCAAGGAACATTGGTGTAGGTGACGCACTCACACACCAAGGGACCAACGGAGTCGAGTTCACAGTCAAATCAGTTGGTGCATGCTTACCCCACACAGGTAGTGTATGTGCTACAAACGCCGAGGTACAACCATGGGTACCATTATGAATATGGTCAAGGGTACGCCAGCCCCTATCACATACAACACACAATAGCCAGTGGAGCACCTGCATATCCACACATGCACGACTCAGTACCAAGTATTAGCTCAACATTTTTCTAGGAGATCCTGCTGTACAAAATACCACATTCTGCCATGATCCCAAATATCCCAAAATACAACGACACGACAGATCCCGACAAACACATAAACACTTATGAATGGACGATGACATCGCTCCGGATGGACAAGAAGTTCAGCTGCACCTACTTCCCGATCACACTGTTATGAAATGTCAGCAAGTGGTTTAAGGTGTTACGACCGGGAAGCATCTCCAGCTTCGAACAATTGAGACATCTATGCCTCCACAATTTCATGCAGTTGAGAAAAGTCAAAAGAGATGCCAACTCGATCATGGCATGCAAGAAAAAGGAGGGAGAGTTCATCGGAGCATATTATGACCGGTTCACCTTAGCAACTTTAAGTGTCCCACGGCATGAAGAATTCTTAGTCACAGGCACCTTCGCCCAAGGGCTACTCTTAGTCCCCCTGTCAAGAAAAATGCAAGGCACAGTGCCGATCTCCAGAGACGAGCTAAAATATAGGGTCGATAAATACATTTAACAAATCGAAGGAGATTAAAGCAAACAAACAAATTTAAAGGCAGTAGCGAACTCCTACCTCAAACAAGAATCAGTCGACTCCTACTCCCGCCACAACCATAAAGAGCGCAATGATGGAAACCACGACAAACATAGCAGACATTCGAGACATTCCTCCTGCAGATTCTACCCATTCATCAAAGACAATCTGAGGAGCCATAGGTCGGAATTACACACCCTAGAAAAAACCCCATATTGGACGGAGATGGAAAAAAGCAAATACTACGAATACCACAAGAGCAAAACACACGACACTGGAGAATGTTTGATACTCAAAAGAGAAGTAGTGGGCAAGCAATTGAATGGAGACCTAACATAAACAGAAAGGACCCTACGATCAAAGTTCGAAGTTGACCAAAAAGATAGAAGAACCCGTAAGGAAGAAAGCAAACAACCAATCAAAAATAGGAGATTTTCATAATAATGAGACCCAAGGATCGAGAAAAATACCAACGGTCGGCCAAAGGCGATGCGATCCTACCCGGAGGCACTCTAAAAATCAATTTCTCGCCATCAGACCCGGGAGTTCCCGACTGCGACCCAACAAATCCAATCATAATCCCTGCCATGGACATACAACAGAAGATAGAAGAACCCGCAAGGAAGAAAGCAAACAACCAATCAAAAATAGGAGATTTTCATAATAGTGAGACCCAAGGATCGAGAAAAATACCAACTGTCGGCCAAAGGCGATGCGATCCCACCCAGAGGCACTCTAAACATCAGTTTCTCGCCATCAGACCCGGGAGTTCCCGACTAGGACCCAACAGATCCAATCATAATCCCTGCCACGGATATAAAACAGAAGACCTGGCGAGCCTTAGTTGACGGAGGTAGTAGCACCGATATCCTTTACGAATAACGTGTCAATCAACTCCCACCATACTGGAGAAGGAACCTGAAAACCCCAGCCCAGGCACCACTCGTTGGCTTCACGGGACACAAGTTGTGGCCACTCGACACCATAAACCCACCATTGACTATAATTAGTGTCGATGGGAAGGAACAAGAAACTAGGATAATCGAGTTCTTGGTAGTTAAGAAAAGGTCCGATAACGATATAATCCTTGGGCGCCCAACTCTTTTTCAATTACAGGCAATCCCATCGATAATACATGGCACGGTCAAGTTCAGAACAACCAAAGGTTCAACAACAGTCATAGCCATTAACACATGAGCAAGGCCAATTCAGGCAATCGTCGTGCGGGCTACCACGCACATCCCAAAAAGAAGTTGTACCATGATACTCCCATCCAAAATGGTCAAAGATGAGAAGAAAGACACCGACACCCCCGATAAGAAGAACAAGCACAAGCCCCGGGTGTGTAGCCCGGGGGGAAGGGTGCGCTAGCAACAACATTATCGTGTCAAATACATCGCATCTTGTTAGCATGAACACCAAGAAGGGTTGGATACCACGAAGCCTGCCCACACGCCTTCGCAAAGTAAAGACGCAAAGTACGAAGAAAAAGCCTAACAGAAAACAAAACCAAGGGACCCAAAAGTTTAGGAGGGAAAGACAGGGAACCGCCCTGCAAAAGAAGATACAGACAGGAGGATGCTAGCAATGGCAAGTGCCTGCAATTGGAAGAAGCTTTCCCCAGGACATCACCTGGTCCAAAGCCCCGCGAAAAACAGAATCAATAACAACTACACAACACCAGATGACACGAAACCTCCCAAAGATACTAACCAAACAATCGGGACTAGAGAATGGAAGATATTGAAAATCTTCTTCCAAAGGAAGATTGTTCCAGAAACAAGCAGTCACGTGAACGCAAACATCATAGAACTTGTAAGTACATGAAATGAACAAAGTAAGGACCAAGAAGAAGAAGAACTCATCCCAATGACCTGGGAGCCCCAAGGGCCCAAGCCAATGGTCCTAGCTTGGAAGGAATCAATTAAAGGGGCTATATGATCAAATTCCCACTGGATAATCACATCCCAACTAGCTAGTACAGGACCTAGAAGTAGAATAACATCGGCTATTAAACCCCCGATACCTACCTAAATGATGTAGGTGTCTACAAGACATCAAACAAAATATATATATGCAATGAAAATTTAGAATGAACAAGTATCAAGATACTTTTGTACAAACGGAAAACAAAAACGGACTGATCATCCGTGCCGCATAATAATAAAATCATGGAGGACAACACAATTGTAAGCCTCAAGGGCTCATAATTTTCCCTAACAAATAAGGTCAGTAGAGTAGCAACTCCTGCTCATGACAAAAAAGAGGCTTTAAAGGATCATAACCTTTCCCTCGAAACATATAAACTCCCAGGCTTCGAGGAGATGATCTCAGTCTGGTTTAGGTGACAAGGGACAGAGTGAAACTATCCTTGGCCTGGGGCATAGAAAAGGCCCCAAAATAAAGTCCTTTAGCTAAAAAGGGACGTTCCAATTAAGTAGGCCATCTAGGGCCCGCACCTAGAAGCCAACCAAAGCCTCACACTATGAGGTTGGGCCAAAGGACGAATGATAGAGTCAGATTCTCTGGGCCATCAAAACTCGTCAAAACAAATAACAACCACCCCTAAAAGGGTGACACTAACCTCTAGGAAGAATTCAAGCCAAAGATGGCCTACATAAACCATCGAGCACAAGGACAACATAAAACGATAAGGTAACAAACCAAAAGAAAGGGATAACATACATAAAATAAATTATCTACCCAGACAAGCCACCGGGATTTTCACAAAGACTACGCAGGGCCAAAGAAAAGGAGCAAAACATTGTTAAGTGCCAAACAAACATAAACATTGTTTTGAAATATTCAAATAAGAAATAAAAGCCATCACATACTAGGGGAAGCACCAGCATGAGAAAAGCCACCTTCGACCTGACTATCCTCAACATCAGAGTCATTACACAATTGGCGAAGGCCTGCAATGTCGAGCTTGCCAAGCAGAGGTAGGAGGCAAAGTCTGTCTCCATAAACGCTTCCACAACAGTGGATTACCTGAATATGCTCTGTAGTAGCAACTGCTTACCCAGGTACAAACTTCCCAGTAATGACCTATTCCCGGACCTCCTGCTTTCCATTCTCCATACCAGTGGACATGTAAGCCATCTTCATCTGCATCAATCCCATCGCAAACTCAGATCTTTCAACCACCTTGTCCACGACACAAAAAGTTACTTTCTGAAGTAGCCATCTCTTCCCCCAACTGCTTGTTGGCACGATCCACCGGGTCCTCAAATGCATTCTTCTCTTCCACCAACACCTCGATACACTAGTAGAAATGCTCCACTAACACGTCCCAAAGCAACAACCTTGTGCTCCAGAGATGTCTTCTCCCCTGCCAGGAGATCATAGCGTTCCTCGAAAGAATTCTTCTCCCCTTCTAACACCATTAGCTTGGCCCTCAAATCATCTCGCTCAGCCATGATCTGAACGAGCTCTCTAGAATTAGAATCAACCTGACGAAGACAAGATGCAGTCACAACCATATATGAACCAACCTAGGTAGTTGCGTATAATAGGTTGTTAGAAAGATGAGAATTAGAGAGAAGTTCCAAGGCCTAGATGGTGGCGGGGTCATCTAGGAAACACTCATCCCAACCGCAGCAAGTATGTGATTCTCCCAATCCTCGTCGTTAATGCAAAATGATATTCAACACATGTGCCACGGTGGTCAAGTAGGGATAACCGAAACTGACAAAATTGTGGTTCACTCAAATCCATCGATCTTGCTAGTTCTTCTTCGGAGCTTTCTGATTGATGATGAAAGCATGAACATCCCGGTTATGGGAAAAACTTTGGGCACTAGACTAAGTGGAGGAATTGAAGAAATCCTTGAAAACCCAGAACCGTGGAAAAACTCTGAGAGACCGATAAGCAAGTTCAAAGCCGACGATCTTTTTGATAGCATTTGGAGTTTGGTCGTCCACACAGAGTCCAAAGTGACGCATAATCTCGTCAAATAAATCTTTCGTCGGCAACCTCATCCCCACCTCGAAGATCCAAATGGAAATTCCGATCTTCCCCTCCGGCAGATGAGAAATGATGGCCCCCTTTCGAGGGTATTCTACGCCATGCTCGAGAAGAAACTCAAACTGTTCTTGCAGACTCGAAAACTCACTCCGGGAAGGAACGAAAAGACTAAATGGTAGACACGATGGAAACCAGGAAAAAAGGAACCAACTCAAATAAGGAAGTTTTAAGTACAAGTAGGAAGCCCAAGAAGTTATGATGATGAAAACCGTCTACACAGACTCCTCTGTCACATCAAATGCGGCCAGAAAACCATCCCCGCCGAAAGTGTGTCCAGATCTAAGCTAGAACTACTGAGCTACCCTACGAACATGCTGACGTCTAATAGCCTAGGGGACTTTTTCACATATCCCACCGGAAATCTGTCTAAGATAACGGAACCACTAGTTCGACAAACGAATCAACCAAGGAGAAATGGGTAACTAACGCAAGGCCTTCGCCCTCGCCTTCGAGACCTCATATTCGTTCCTTGGTGCCCAAGCGCCAAGGCTAACATTGAAGATAAAACAATACCAAGAGTTCCCAGAGTGACAGGTGAGGTGCTTTGGACACTGCTTCTGGCAGAATCTGCACCAATAGCGAACAACCACCCATGGAACACGATCCTCCAATCAAAATCCATCATCCCCTGCCGAACCTAAAAATCTTGAAGATACTGTCGGGGATCTGTTCCCCCTAACCACAGGTATAAAAGGCACCCTTCCCCCCCCCCCCCCCCCCAAGAGAAGGGGCCAATATCTAAAACCCTTTATCACTCTCTATACACTTTAAACCCCCTTTCTCTCAGACTCTCACTCACTTGATCGTTAAAGCCTCATTCCAGGACAACCTCCGAGACGAAGAATGAAAGTCTTATCTTCTTTTTTGTGATCCACAAGCTTTTCATTTCCATCTTCGGAAAGACAGACTTAAGCCAGTGATATATCACAACAATCATTCTAGTTAAAATTTGTTGTTTGGGAAAAGTTATCATAAACAAATAAAAATATCATGAATTAGATAAGCTCTTCCTAAGGTTCCTCCAACCATTAAGGTGGTTGTCAAGGCCAACAAATAAATAACCCTAGAAATTACACACTATATAGTGTATAATGGAAAGGGGATCGAATCCACGAAGATTGATTCAGTTTATAATTCAATGAAAATCACTTTGTAAAAATACTTGTAAAACAATAATAAAAGTAAAAAATGGGAACTTTAGTTTTCGTTATAAATCTAATTTTAACTAGAACATGTGAAACACAAATTAAAGTAGTAAGAGTTTATGTAAATCAATATGGAGTAAATGGTTGACATTGGAATTTCGTCATTTGAACATTTGGTAAATAGATCATTAGAAGTCAAGGTGTAATACTTGTAATAAATCTCTAATTAGGATATAGTAATCCAAGAAGATTGAATTTACCTAGACTTTTCTTAGTTAATAAAATGGCTAGAGAAGCTCATAACACATTTTTTAGTTAAAGCCAAAATTTCCATGAAGCATGTAATTAATGAAAATTAACTAACATTATGATTGAAAAGCCTCCAAATCCAAGAGGAATCAAAATTCTTTCTTTATAATGTTAAAAAAAATACTTTCATGATCGTGTGAAAGGAAAAAAACACACACACACAAAAAAAAAACATTTTTTCTTGCTAATTTGAAGATCCCATTACTTAATCAAGAAATTAGCCAACTAATTTCTCCTGGTGGGATATGTCAAAAAATTAATGAAAGTATAGTGAATCACTAGATGAATTCATAGTTATAACAGATAACAAGATGAATCAACCAGAAAATGAATCACAAACACTCGATTAGATAACCAAAATGCAGAATCAAATCAAAACTGAAGATCTATGTAGATTTTCAGAATCAAAAGTGTGGAAACTTTTGAATCTTGAATGAGATTCAAAAAGCTTTTGAAAAAAATGAAAATTAGATCAAAACAGTAAGATTCCTGCTCTGATACCAATTGTAGAGTCGATTGAATCAAATACAAAAACAACATTAGAGTTAGAACAGATTTAGACACAAGATCTAAATATAATGTGGTTAGCTCGTTGTATTGCTTATCATAGAATACAGGAAGAAAAGAGAAATGTTTACAAGATTAGAATCTAAAGTCTTAACCTCTAAGTGTATCCATCCCATATATATAGGGATACTGAAAGCACAAAAAATACAAGGGACTAATTACACTAAGCTTTAAAATACAAATTGCCCTTGTAATATTATAACAAACAGACTTCGATATTACAGACAACTAAGAAATATTTGACACCTCACAATACATTCAAAACTATAAATACATGATTGTGCCAATTGTGGAATCATATGGCACTCGACTCATTTCTGCTATCTCGACATTGGTACTTGGACTCTGAGTCTTACTTAGCTTGGTATTACTCTAGATGGGCAGTTCCCCTTTCTTGGAATTCTCCATGCTAAAACATTTCAGCACATTGTCTGAGTAAGTACTTTGACTAAGTCCTATTAGTCTTCTACTCCTATTTCTCAAAATCATTATCCCCATAATATAAGCAACTTCTCCTAGATCCTTCATAGCGAAACACTTCCCAAGCCAGAACTCAACAACCTTCAAGGTCGAGATGTCGTTTCCTATGAGCAGTATGTCATCAACATACAAAACTAGAAAGCTAACTATACTCCCACTAGCCTTGACATACACACAGGACTCATCCTCGCTTCTCAAAAATCCAAACTCTTTGACTTTCTCATCAAAACAAAGATTCCATCTGCGAGATGCTTGCTTTAATCCATGGATGGATTTCTCAATCTTGCACACTCTATTGGG